TTTATCACAAGTTCGTTTCAATTAAAATGAACATGTTTATTTTCCGCAAAAATATTCAATAGTTATAATGAATTTGAATAATGAATGTAGTTTACATTAGTTTAAATTATTTGAATATAAAATAAAATTTTAAATCGAATTGAACAATCAATAAACTCCAAATAATAATTTAATAAAAACACTGATTAACCGAGTCTGTTATTTAAACACCAATGTCATTTTCCATTTTCAACTAAAACTCATTAAAATATCAAAAGAATTGAGACTAAAGTCGTTCAGTATTCACTTAAACTTCTTTTAAAATAAACATTTAGTATTCTCTTTGTGTCTAAGCTGAAACCTTCTTTAATATCATTGAGTGAGTTCAGAAATAGATTTGCTTTTCTGGTGGCGCTTACGTATCAGACATTTCCATATAGCTTGTACGAAAATGTGTTTCTGCATCACCACTGAAAACTCAGATGTTTCACAGTTTCAGCATTTTTAAAAACACAGACAAATTTATTCCACCCCAAGAACTAAAAAAATGTGTTTTATTAAGCTCCACTCTTGTAATTTCTCCCGCCTGGGTTACTAGCAAAATTTCTCCTCTATTTTATCACAAAAAGTTTAAATGAGCGCATGAAACGATAGTATGTAGCAAAACCAACTTCAAATCAAAAACACAGGGATGTTGTACGTGGAAAGTAGATTAGAGAGTCTCAGGTTTCGTTTCCTGCGTTCCAAATGCAGAGTTGTTTTATGGAGGAAACCCACGTGTCGTAGAGAGGGTGATCTATGCGAGAACGGGGAGGGAAGTACAGCACTACAAGCTTTTACTTTTGTTTAATTGAAATTACTGTCATTATTTATGGTGAATGTGGTGGAGACTTTGGAGGCGTAAACATTAAAGTAATATCGTTTTGGGTTTTTTTAATTTATATTAAATGCCTGGTCGTAAGTACTTTCCCACCCACGCAACCAATTCTCATTATTATCTGCTGGAATAAAGGTGCACCAAAAACGTGGTTAATTATAAAAAAGTAAGGATAAAATATAGAGATTTCATCACTTCACCAGTAAATTCTAATCTACAATTATTTATTTATTTTTGACATTCATAGCCCTATCTCTACGATAAAACAGCAATTTGTGACAATTTTAAATTTTTTAGTTTATTAATTTCAATTAAATTAAGAGTTTTCATTAAAAATTGTACATTTTAAGCACCCTCTTGTATGAAATCGTTGCGCCATATTTATTAAATTTTTAGGACTTTTTTAGTAATGATTATTTCTAGTACATAATTTTCACCAATAGCATATCTTTATGTCATCCAATCATAAGCGTCTTTTGCGATAAAACTTCTCTTCCTACTGTCATTAAAGTGATTATTCTTTTTGTCAGCATGTCAGATATTTTTTTTATTTATTAATTTTTTAATTACTATTTATTAAGTGCTTTTGGAAGTAACCTAGTCAAATAAAACTCGACCATCGTTTTTATTATAAATTTATGAATTTCAACTAAAACTTTTTTGACTCAGACAATTTTACTTGTTGAAATTTGGCAATTTATATTCAAAGATTGAAGTCCTCGACCTACGCTCTCGGGCTCTAATCAGAATATAAATTTACAAATTCAACTCGTCAAATTGTCATTACAAAAAAGTTTTTTTAAAGTTCAAAAATTTATTCGATAAAAAACGATGGTTTTGTTATGTTACTATTGACAAAATCGTTTTTACGTCTTCATTTTAAAACTTTTAGATAAAAAAAACTGTGAAATGTTTTAAGAGGAAATTTAATATAAACAACATTTGCCCACAAATTACCAATTTTTTTATTAAAATTTTTAGAAAATAGTGTTTTGGGACCAAAAGCAGCTCACAATTATTTCGATAAACAGTTTTATCATCAAATTTTTGCCAATTTTTTGTATTTTGAAGAAAATAGATAAAAAATTATCAAAAAAAGTAAATTTAATTTTTTTGACAAAACAATGTAATTTTACAAATTTTGAACTCGAAAATACTTTAAACGAAAACCCTGTTAAGTGTGTTTTTAAATTTATAATAAAGATTTTTAATTTCATAAAAAAATTACTTTATTAATTAACTAGATACTTTGAAACAATTTCAAAGTTCTCGTGTCTGCTGTGATTAATGTTAAACTTCGCCACCTTTACCACCCCCAAGTCCCTACCCCCTGCAATAAATAAATCAACTATCAAGTCACGCAGCAGTCGCATCTTCCCCTGACAGCGTCCGTGTCCCCTGCTGCGATATTAAGCGAAATTTCGACCTCAATGAACCATCATCAGGGTCGTGTGTTTGGCAAGATCGTAAACAACTAATTTGCGATGGGTAAACTCGCGGTAGCGGCTTGAATGCTGCTCATTTGCTAATCTCCCGCTCTCTAATAATAACAACGCGCTCCGGGATTACAAGCATGTGTGACAGACAACCGGAATTATTTCTTGTTATTGAACACCGGAAAAAGCAAAATTTTTCCTGATTAAGGTTGCGAAATAACAAGAGACACTCGCCGCGAGATTGTCTCCAATTTCTTAGACGTAAACACGCAACGACGATAATTTTGTTTGAGATTTCTTTCAGGAAAATGCGCGCTGAAAGCGCTTCCCGGAACGGGGAAAATGCGGTTTTCTATATTGTTTCCCAGAAATTCAGAAAAAGCATAATTAACTTTTATTATTGCCATCAATGAGGGCTCGTGAAAAACTTCTTTTTTCAAAAAAAACAAAAAACAGCTTTGCGATAAAGTAATAAAATTACCTAATTTTTGTTATTTTTGCACTTTTAGGTTTGGTATTTTGGCGGTAAAAAATTTGATTATAATTCTTACTAAAATTACTGAAATGTCCTCGTAATTACTTGTAAATTTTTATCTTTTTCTAATATAATTCTAATTACATCAAATAACAAAATTGGTTTCTGTACAGAAACTTTTTACTTGGTTTTTGCAAATAAAGATATTTCTATTTAAGTGTACATTTTTTTTAAATTTGATTACCTATTGGTTGGTAAAATTGAATTAAAAAAATCTGAGTCAAATCTCAAAGTTTAAGAATAAAATTGTCGTAATTGTGTTGAAATTTAACCTACAACAATTGAGGAGACTTCAATTTCAAAAATCCAGCCACTAAAACAATAAAATAAACAAACCTGGTCTCACAATAAAATAAAAGCGCTCCCTCAAAGGTTGCGGTTTTCAATATTGTTTCCCAGAAATTCAGAAAAAGCATAATTAAAACATAATTGCACTTTTAAGTTTGGTATTTTGGCGGTAAAGAATTTGATTATAATTTTTACTAAAATTACTTGTAAATTTGTGTCTTCTTCTAATACAAAATTGGTTTCTGTACAGAAATTTTTTACTTTTTTTTGAAAATAATGTAAAGATATTTTCTATTTACGTCTACATTTTCTTTTAATTTGATTATTAATTAAAACTAATAGTCAATACTTTTAGAAATTACACCAAAATGTTGGTAAAGTTGAATTAAAAAAATCTGAGTCAAAACTCAAAGTTTGACAATAAAATTGTCGTAATTATGTTGAAATTTAACCTACAACAATTAGGGAGACTTCAATTTCAAAAATCGAGCCACTAAAACAATAAAATAAACAAATCTCGTCTCACAATAAAATAAAAGCGCTCCCTCAAAGGTTGCAAAGTTACGAATTTCATAATTAAAAACTTCCAGTAAAGTTATCACGATTCCGGGTAAATTAATAAAGGAAAAACACATCAAAGCGAAGAATTTTTCAATTATTCCGGACGCCATAGTTCGATCAAACCAACTAATCCAGCTGGAAATTCACCATTTGTGTTATTCTCTCGTGGCCCGAACTGTCCGGATCTGATATCCGGAGTTTCTATAAATTCCCAAATTCAATTTTGGGGCTATTTACAATTCAAGCCAACAACGGTTAATTCGTTAACTTACCTTGAAGCAGACGAAGAGGGAGAAGGGCATGGTCAAAACAACGACCATCCATGATAGGACCGTTAGGATTTTCCCGCACATTTTCGTGTCCTCCTCCACAAGCTCAGCTGCGAACAAAGATAATAAATAAAAAAATGAAATTAAATTCGAACGCTTTGTTTTGTAATTTTTGAATACGATTGCAAACGTCGATAATGTTTCCTGTTCGTAATTGGGGTGTCGGAAATAAATTTCCAGTTTTTACAATTTCCAAGTCAAAGCGACACAAAAAACGTCCGAAAGCACACGACTCGAGGGTGAAGCTAATTATGTAAATGTATTGTAATGGATTAAAGAGCGAAACATTGAATCGATACTTTTATTAAAATTCATAAACCCATAAATTATGCAAATGCTCTCAGTGCTTCGAAAGCCATCCATCACACCTTGTTAACAGCGAAGATCACTGCATTATCGACAACCACCTGCAAGAAAATTACGATAACGTAGCAAAGCTTTTTTAAAATTCACGTACGGTTAATAAATTATGTGTACATAATATAACAGCCGCAACTTTAATTAACTCAATTTTTCCGGAGTAAATTTAGAGGAAAAATGGAAGTAAACCGGAACCCTTACATAAAAGACGAGTCTTCAAAATATTTAATATGTTTCTTCCCCAGAAAATATTTAATATGAGAGGTAAATAAATACACGTAAAAATTTACTTTAAAACTCCGGTTATATGCCAGCAAGTCACGTACGCGAATGCGGTTTAAATAATACCTCCCGGAAGATTATTAGAAGCGAGTTTGAGAAATGCGATTAGAAATGTATCTTAAATGCGAGGTGGATGCGATTTAATCCTAACTCCACTAAAAATATTTTCAAATTGAAAAATAAGATTTGAGATGCAAAAGGGCACCTTATCTCAGTTGTAATCTGCATCACAGAAACCACGAAACTAAACCAATGAGTGATGAAACTGAGAGACAAACGTAATCGCAAGTCGGACCAGATCGGTTTAATTCGTGATCACGTGAATTGAAACGTTTTGGGATTGGTGGGTTGCCTCGTTGATTTTTTAGTGAGCTTTGCGCCCTCTAGGGAACACAAAACGGAAAAATATAGCTAAAAATATTCTCTAACAAAGTAAACAACAAATAAGAAACAAAAAACTACTCTAATTAATTACTACTAAACAAAAACTAAAAAGAAAATAGGGAACATCAAAGATAAATATTGTTATATGGTTTCATAAAGATTCATCCACTGAAAAGCTAATTTGGGTTTAGAGCAAACACTGCAAATACCGCAACCGCAAAACTAAGTTTATGAATATAGTTAAACTAATGACTAAAGGGTTGAGGAAAGGAGCTATTTTGCAGTTAGCTACTAAGCTAAGCTTCTCACTTTTAATCAACTTTTTAAACCTGAGTCTCTTATTTTCGATCTATAAAAACCAAAATATGCAGTTTCGGTTTCAGTTAATAAAGTTTTCAGATCTTTTTTATAAAATTAGCGATGTAACACGTTTGAAAGGAACTAAATTATGCAATTTGATTGTTTTAGTTTTTATTTTAAAAAATATGTTCAAAATGCTCTCAAATTTATTGAATTTTTTGTCGAAAGACTAGAATAAAATTATTTTTAATTAATTAATTAATTAATTAATTAATGCTCAATGTTCAACAGTTAACTGAATTTATAAAATGCGCAGTTATCCAATTCAAAAGTGTGTCCATTTTACGTGTGTATAATTTTCCAAATAATTTAAGAACAGTTTTTTATCTGGATAAACATTCAGTTTAACTCTTTTCAAAATAACATATTGTTAAACATTTTTATAGCAATTTGTTTCCAGTAAGTATAATACCATAATTACCATAAAATGTGATCATTTTAAAACATTCATTTCTAGAAAAGTTTTATGTTTACTGAAAAAATTAAAAATATATTCAAAAAAGTAGATATTTGAGACAATTTCATGATAACAGTTTTAACACAATTCTCGTATCTAAACAATCACATATCAAACCAATATAATTATTTTCCCACAAACAATAATCAATCAAAGTTCTTTCTTTTGTTAATCAAATTTGTAATCACTAAAGGATCTACAAATAATTCAAAAAAATTACCTAAAAAAAAAGTACTTAAAACAGTGCATCAAGCATGTAATACATTAACAAAATATTAAAAAACGATATCAAAAAGTTTTGTGCTCAATAAATTATCGACCCTCAATCGTTCAAAATAAACACAAACCTTTCAAACAGCTTAACTTTTTCACTTTATAAAAAAACTACTACATACATGAAAAATCCTTCTCTGATGACAGACAGAGGTAAGTAAAATAAATTATTAATTCAACAAAAATTAAACAAAAAATTTCAAATAACTACTATAATTTGTTTCCAGTAAGTATAATACCATAGAATGTAGTCCTAACTGGCATAAGATTTTCAAATTTGAAAAATTAAAAGAATTCTTCTTTTTCAATTTCAGTGTTAATTAATCGTAGCCCACAACCATCTCAATGTTCTTCTCTCATTCAATTAGAGCTAAATTGCTTTAAAAGTTCCTAGGTTTCAGTTTCAATTCATACCTCCTGAATCAAATTTATTCGTCGGCTCTTAACAAATATGAATTAGACTAATACATCACATCTAAGAGCATTAATACCCAATAGCAACTTACAATAGAACCTGAAAGCTTATCATCATTTCGCATTAATCGATGTAGTAAATAATCGAGCAGTCCTCGCTAGACATTTCTTCGTTTATATCTCGTCCAACTTTAACGACATCGTTATATTGTTCTGTTAATTAACATATGTTGCCTGAAGGGCCAAATCGGAAATTCTACCTACCCACATCGATCGTAGTTGGCAAGTAATTTCACTAATTATTTAGGTATACAACAGGAATTCCTCGCTTCTCCGTCAAATACGAACATTCAGGAACTAATCTACTATCTATTACAAGTATTACAACTATTGATCAGATTTGACAATTTTTACACAAGACTCTGTTCCGGGACCTCTGCTCTCCTAAGGCACTTTTTAAAGTAATAAAACTTTCAGTAAAAACCGGAAAAAGTTAGCGAATTGCTCGTAAAATTATTTATCAAAGTCGATAAAAACGATAATGTCTCTTGTAAAGTTAAATTAATAAACTGGGTCTCGTGTGCCTCCCGCTCGATTAAAAATTCGCAGTTTGTTTAAATATTGAGAATAGATTAAGGTAGAAAGACGGACTAAAAATAATCCAAGTATCGCTATTGACTGAAACGTGGAATTGGACGAGTTGGGAGTATTAAATGAAAGCAAATAAAAAATATTTGAGAGTTTAATTGGGAACAGAATTTATGTTTTGTTCATTATTTGCGTCAGACACGTGTTTTTCGACTTGTATTTGTGTTCGTGAATGTGTTTGTGTAATTACTGGTGGGATTATCAGATCGAAAATACGAATTAAATTTTCATTTCTAATCACATTGACTCATTGCGATTATTGCTCCATCTAAATGGCTAAATTACAACTCGTTTGAAATTTGATTGCTACTAGTGTAGAAATATTAGACTTTAAAACTAATTTTACTGTCGTAGAATAGTTTTTCTTGTTGACGGTTTTGTGATTTCCTCTAGAATGAGTTTAAAAAGATTTGAAGAGTGGAATAATGTCTAACATATTTTTTCTTTATTATTTGGTTCTACAGCAAGCGACATTTCAGGTTGTCACTTCAAATCTCCATAAAGATATGCTTTTGTAGACACATTCAAACATATTAGTGTATGGAAAATAATCCCATTCGAGATTTCTCCTGATTTCCATTGTATGTTTGGTATTGTGGTTGAATATGATCATTTTTAAAAAAATATTTCTATCTTTACTGAAAAAATAAAAACTATCTTAAAAAAAGTAGATATTTGAGACAATTTCATGAAGTTTTGAACATACTCGTAAACAAGAAAAATAAATAAAAATCATTAGTTAATTAAAGTTTCTCTTTTTGTTACTGTTTTGAATTCTTGTATCTAAACAATCACATATCAAAACAATATAATTATTTTCCGACAAACAATAATCAATCATAGTTCTTTCTTTCGATAATCAAATTTATAATCACTAAAGGATCCACGAATAATTCAAAAAAATTACCTAAAAAAAACTACTCAAAATAGTGCATCAAGCACGTAATAAATTAACAAAGTTCTTTCTTTCGATAATCAAATTTATAATCACTAAAGGATTCACAAATAATTCAAAAAAATTACCTAAAAAAAACTACTCAAAATAGTGTATCAAGCACGTAATACATTAACAAAACATAAAAAAACGATATCAAAAAGTTTTCTGCTCAATAAATTATCGACCCTCAATCGTTCGAAATAAACACAAACCTTTCAAACAGCTTAACTTTTTCACTTTATAAAAAAATGATTACATACATGAAAAATCCTTCTCTGTTGTTGAGTGAAATAGTTTTAGGTTAATTATTTTTTCTTGTAACAGACAGAGATAAGTAAAGTAAATTATTAAATAAAAAAATTAAACAAAAAGCAAACAAAAGCTCAACAAATTTTAAGTCATCCGACAGAGATAAATATTTAAACAAAATGTGTTCACAAATCATTCTTTCATAAAATATGTCAGGAAGCGCCGCTATATTAACAAATAAATATTTATGCTGTCATCTAACTATTTATGTTTGTCATTCTCCTGAAGCCCCTGAAAGCGTCAACTGTTTCATGCATAAATAACAGTTTACAGTTTGTTGTAAAATAAAGTCACTTAATTTTCATGTTGATGCATAATGCAAATTAGCAATTTTTTGTTTCAATAATAGCAAACACAACTCTAAACTTAATTAGCAACAAAAGCTGAAGCGGACTAGCATTCCCAAAAGAGCTCTCGCTTAATTTCCCTTCCTCGCGAAACGCTAAACTTAGTTGTTAACCTCAATTAAATTCATTTTGAATCGGTCAACCATTCCTCGGAATTCCTGCCTATCCCGAACACTGTCGTAAATTCTATCCGGAACACTCCGGGTGGTGCGCTCATACTATTATAGCACTCCGGTGCACAAAATTCGATACAGCAATCCTCTATTCACCCTTTCTGTA